GAGAACCTCTGACATTTGGATTTGCATTGCACGAACTACCGGGCTCAAACTCCTCCATCACCAGGTAGCTCTTCCTGAATATAAACTGGAGTATTTTCCTATGAGACAATCAGCGACAGGAGAGAACTGCTTTCTGCCCACTTCAGGGAAGCCTGTGTTTACCGGGTTCCACCCCAGCGCCCCGTCAGACGGCATTTTTCATGACAAACCCCTTTACTGAACTGGTTGAGCCATGGGGAGAGGCGATGACCCCCTGAGCAGCTCTGCTGCCTGCCCCACCGTCAGGGCTCCCTGGCACCGTGCTGCAGGCTGCAGCAAAGGAAGGGGAGAGGGAGCAGACTCCAAACCTGCAGAGCTCCGAGAGCTCAGGGTTATATGGGAAAAACACACCTTTTTTCCCCCCTTTCTTCACCTTACCAGTTTTAGAGGATACAGAACCCTATTTTAAATGCAGAGTTAATCGTTCACTTCGTTCTGAAGCCGACGCAGACAGCTCAGAGCCACCAACTTGCCTGAACGTGATGACAAGCAGAGCTCTGCTCCGCCAGCTCCCGTCTCCTCCGCGCTGCTGTCACTTGTGCAGCCCAGCACAACGCACCTCAGGGCCGACAGCTCCTACAGGATGGCGCAGACATGAGAAATCCCTACTAGAAAAGAAAGATATTTGCAGGAAGGTGAGACAACAAATAAATAAAAACCTTTAGTCAACACAAAAGGTAAAGGTAGAAATGCCAGAAGTGCTCATTATAAAAAAAGGCAAACAGAACCTGCTTGTTGCCTGAACCCCATTTATATCTTGTAGCATTTGTTCCAAACAGTATGGGAAACTGTTCTTACTGTTACAAGCAGAAGAGAAAAGAAAAATGAGAGAGAACGAATAAAGCACTGGCACGGGTGTAACTATGAACTCCTACCCCACTAACAGGAGTTTTACCGATTTTACAACCCCCTCCTCAGAAGCCATCCGCCACACGCAGAGAAAAGCCTGCAGGAGTCCTGCACCCGTTGAATTCACACACTGGATCTCTAAACTGTGAAGACACAGAATACAGTTTTTTGGAAGGAAATAAAAAAACAACAAAAGAGGAAACGTGACCATTCAACATAATTGTGTTTGGGGCTGTAAAAGCTGCTGCTCATTGTTCTATTTAGAAAACAGTAAAGCGTGAACCTTAAAACATCCTTTGCACGGGAAAAATACTGCGGGGTCGATACAGGCGCCTCTCAAAAGCAGGTACCAAAACCTGCCAAGGCCCGACCCCACCGGGCTGACTGCAGCCGCTCTCACGGTGCCGCCGTGCAGCGACCGAATTTGACCACCTCCAATTCTCTGAAATCAGTTCACATAGGCACCGATACAGATAATGTTTTCCTTTAATGGTGAATGATTTTATAATGAAGCAGAAACATATAATGTATTCCATGCAACCAACCTCATTTATTGAAAAGTCCTAATTTTATTGCCTTGTTTAGTAACATGTTTGTTCAACAAACTAATTTTTTCATGAAGCAAAGCACAACTTTTTCTTATAAATAGTATAAATTATTTTATTTACAGAAACTTGTTACAAAACAAATAGACTATATATTTATTTTTCTTTTAAATATCCAAAGTAATTTTTCTATCCCATGACATTTGTTCATGTACTATACAGCAGCCAACACAGAGTTCAGCTGATCAGATGCTCTTGATTATGTATACAAATTATCAAACTATTCACACATTTTACACAGGAGATTGCTTTTAGAACCAGGCTCAACACCGAGCAAGATGCTTTCAAGGCCTACATTCACATTGACATTATGTAGTGCTCTTTTTAAAATTATCTTTAAAACGTAAAATATCTTGCACAAAAGGTAAAAATGATGATTTTCTGCTGAACAGTGAAACATTTAAGAATCTTTCTAAGCCCAATTCCCTCCTCCAGGACAGAATGAGTGAAAGACAAGAGAGAGATTCCTTGGCAAGAGAACTCTTACAGGAAGACAACTGCCTTAGAAATGTCATTTGGAAATCACATCTTTATTTTTTAATGGTTTTAAGAGGTACTTACTTGTGGTTTTTGTTGGTTTTGTTTTCCTGGAATACCAACCATTTTGCACATTTTCTAAATTATTCCGTTTATGAACCCCGCCCCCCCCCCTCCCTTCCCAAGATGAGACAGTTAAATAAACCGCTGGTTAAAACCAAATTTCAAACCCTTGGCATGGTATTAAATACGAGTTATCAATGGGATTGTTCCAACACAAGGTATTCTAATTAGAAGATTTTACAAAAGTGACCAGCATCATTCACTTTCTTTTGTCAACCCATCTCATTAATTTCAGAAAATATATGTATAGGTATGTGTGTGTGTGTGTACATATATATATACACACACACACACACGCACACATACATATACGTACGCACACATATATTATATGTAGGTGGAAAAAGCAAGCTCCAAAATTTCAACTGAACATTCAAGTCTTTTAAGGAGAAGCTGTCTAAACAGTCCAAGCTTAAAACTAGTTATATCAGGCACTTTCAGTTTTTCCGTTAGTTTTAAACCACATGAGACCCGCACAAAGGCGCACGCACACACACGCACACGAACACTAAAAAAAGAGAAGCAGTGTGTCACTTAACTAAATGTAGTCTTCCGGGAATCAGGCAACTGATAAGCAATGCCGTATCGACCAGGTCGGCTCCAATCCTGCGCTCGGGTTCCCGCGGCAGAACCCGACCGCAGGACCCGGGCGACGGTTTGCGTGTGTCCGCTCCCGAGGCACGGACAGGGACACAGCTTTCACAAAACGGAGGCATCCCTTAAGTTGCAAAGTAGGCATGTTAACTATTGGCTTGGCAGTGAACCACTTCAAATTATAAAAAGGTATTTGCTTTTTTTTTTTTAATTAATTAATAAATAAATACTAGATGATCTCAATTGTACCAAAACTGGATATAAGAAAAAAAGACCTGTGCAAAAATACATATTTAAATATGTACAATCAATTAACAAAATATGTCTTCTGAAATAGGGATACTTCAATATTTATAATAGAACAAGAAATTCCAAAATAAAGATACAAAAGTATGTTTTTTTTTTTTCTTGTATAATTCTTTGTTCATCATTGCAGCAATTTTTTAGGTTAAGAAAACTGCAGGAGTCATAACGAGAAGTTGGAAAGACTATAAAAACTGTATCTCTTAAATTAATACCAAAATCTGTCTAGAAACAACCCAGCCACTGCAAATTCAATTTTGCAAGGAAAATTAATTTTAAGCTTCCTTAGTTATTTACAGTAAGAACTATGTGACAATAAGCGCTTCAGGAACAATGTTCTGCTTATAACCGAGATCTAAAACACGATGCTTAAGCAGGTCTACGCTCAAGGGCAGAGAGATTTGGGATGCTCTAATGCTTCGCTCCAAGGGCTTCACCCCCCGCAGCTGCAGGCGGCTGCAGGCGGCTGCAGGCCCGGCTCGGCACGGGCAGCGGCCGGGGAGTCCCTTCTGAAGACGCCTGCCCGCCATCGGAGGAGCACGAGTTGGCCGCTATGCTTTCAGATCAACAGAACCTCGAAAGGACAGAGGAGAGTTCGATCACAAACTCACTAGCGTTCAATTTTGCCAAATTTTCGTTACCTTCGCCTTTGTGTCTACCAGGAGTCAAACTGCACGTGTGACTGGCGCTATCCTGAAGTGGAAGCTCTGCCCCGGGGACTTCATCAGAGCGTGGATTTCACTCCAAACGTGCAGGATTTAATATGCCTTGATTTCTCTTTGAGGCATATCAGTTTACGTTAAACCAATTGCAGTTCTAACACTCCTTTCAGCAGAGTATCTTATTAAACACGAATCCTTTTGTTCCTGAAAAGTTGTCTATTTTTTTTTTTAAGTTTGCATAATAAGTGTCTCTAGTACGTTGCTTTCTCAGTGTGATCTTTTGTATCAATTCAAAGCTAAAGTGTCTGCATAGAGGCTTCCTGTTGTTCTGCTGTATAACAATGATTTCGTAGCAAGTCCAGGTTAAACTGAAAGCATCGTTCGGTAAACAACTAAGCAACTGCTACTCAGAGTGGCTTTGGATTCCCTGATGTACTACTTGCCACCAGAACTGGGGAGAAGGCTGGGCTACGTGAACAATTGGACAGGCTCAGATTGTCTCTTCTCAGCAATAGCTGGTGCCCCTTTAAGGCAGAAAAAAAATATCTTCTTGGTTAGGAATTTGTTTTCCTTTGCTTTGCCCCCCTTAACAAAAGTCTAGTCAGTTTTGAGACTTTACCTGATGTTTAAAAACCTAACAAAGATATCCAGAGGAGTCAAATCATAATACAATAAGCCCTTTAGCGGAATTCACTTTTGAGGTGTTTTGAAGCAAGACCAAGAATTTCATAAAAATCGACTGGACTATATAAAACTGTGTAAAGCCCCCTCGATTCCTAAAGCCTGGCTAGGCGTGGGCTGACAGTGATGCACATGTCTGCGCTTTACCGTGAACTCTGCTGTCAAATTGGTGTTTATTCCAGAAATTTGGAAACAAAATAAATCTTACTGAGTGGTTGGAAGTGTAACGTGTTACTGATTTAGTTGTACAAAGAAGGCATAAAGAAACAGACTTCTATATTTTTTAAAAAATTAAATACTTTAAATACTTAGTTTTAAAAGGGCTATTTTTACCACCTGGAAGGCAAATCCAGTCTAATTTAATCAGTACAGTTGTTATTTTTTAAAATAACAAAGGCCTGTGGTATACAGTATAGGTCAATAAATACGTTCTTTGGGCATACAGTTTTAGAGGTTATTTGCCTTTGTCTGATGTTTTTGGATATTTTTTTTTAAAAACACAAAATAAACTCCTATTTTCTTCTGCAATGAAATCTTACTCAAAAGAATAGAAAACAGGGTTTATATCATCCAAGTACAACATTTTTATACTTGTTTGCTCAGCAATGGCCTCAAACAAGTTTTTCTGGGTTTCGTTGGGTTTGTTTTGTTTTTTTAAAACTCCTGATAGCTTCTTATCCCAAATTACTTGCAAAAGGCTGGGCAAAACACAGACTCTTTTTTGAATTGTGCTATTTTTATATTCCATTAGAGGAACATTGCTATAAAAACACTAAAGCCATATTCCCTTCTTGAGGGCTTCTTTCCATTGTGCCTCACACGTTTTTTTCCCCCTCATCACGGGGTCCTCTCCATTGAGGGTGTCAGTCTGGTTAGCTATCACCTACAAAAGACACCATCAGTATAAAAATAAGTCCACAGAAACGTTTATTTCCCCCCAGAAAACATTCGTTTGCCCAGCCAATCTACGTCGAATAGTGGCAAGATGATGTTCTCCTGTAAGTAAAATCTTGCAGATTTGTAGCAAACAGTCCAGACCACCGTTAACACTGATAAGAGCAATTATGTGGCTGAACTTCATCCAGTGTCCATTCCTAGTATATTCGCTGCTACAGACATGGCTTCAGGGAAATTCCTTGTTTAAGTGACAGTCCAGTAGATTTCCACACCTGAGGACCATGGGAAGTTGGGAAAACTCAAGGCATCTTGGAGTCCAGAAATCCAGATGGAGGTTTTGCTTGTAGTGAAAATTGTCCAGTCCGTTTCTCACCATGGTGCATTCAGCTATTAGGGACGTGCCTTTGGCTTTTGAGCAAGCAAAAGAAAGAGAGGGATGAGTGAGCCAGGCTGTTGCAGCAGATGCCCTTAAAAGATACCTTCCGGATAACGAGCGCGTATTTTGGGGAGAATCAGGAGGCACAACGCGACACCGCTAACATGCGGTTCGCGTCTCCAAGACCTGACAATTCTCAAGCTAAAGCTCTTTAAAGTTATAATGCTTTCAGACATGGTTTCCTTCCTTAATTCACTCAAATTACATTTCTCCTTTATTTATACTGCATAGTTGAAATAGTAACTACTATCTAAGGCCAAAAATAAATTCAGCCATCTGAATGCCTTTTTTTTGTTTGTTACAGTAAACACAACGTAACGGTGAAAATCTTCCTCTATGGCTGAAACTGAAGATTAAGAAACCATTCTGAAAAAGCTGTTACTGACCTCCTAGCTCTCCGGGTACACAGATTTCAGGTCACTAGCACCAGGGGAAACAAAAAAGTGTTTCTTGGGTTTTCAGTCTCAAAAAATCTAGTTATAAAGCTACTCTCTAAAATTCCTTCATCTATACTCTCCTCGAGCTGTATCAAATTATTTTTACCCCTCCAAGTGATCCTCCATGTCAATTTGAATAGTATTACTAAGAAGTCTGAGCTACTGGTTTTTAAATTATCTCATCCTAACTTATCAAGAACTTTCTCTCCCAATACAGTACTTTTCCAGTGCAATCTGTTTAAAAAACAAAACAAAAAAACCAAAAAACAAAAAACCAAACAAACCAACCCAACAACAAAACCCCAAACTAATTTTTAAAATGGGATCTTACATAGTTAGTCAGGAGATCTGCTTCCTTTATAGTAAATCTGTTTACTTTACCAACTAAAAAGGTTTCTATCTTATTTATAATACTTAATCTCGGTATTACTAAGAAGTTAGTCAATGACACCTTGGGATAATAGGCTTATTTTACCACAGTATCGCAGTTCTGTTATCAGCATCATTATGTTCCACTTTATGGAATGTCTATTACTGACACAGAAACAAGAAGTCAGGCTGAGTCACGCAGCTCAGTTTCATGGCTGACTGTCAAGGTTTACTTTTAAAATTATTTTTTTAAAATGTGAGGACTGAACTTCAGCCGAGAGCAATTCACAGGCAACATCTAAGGAACTGGGAAGGTCATATTCAAGGTTCCGCCAAAAAAAAAAAAAAAGCTACACTTTATCAGACTGTTTATAAAAAACTTGGGCAAATGTACTATAAAAACACTCGAAGTGAGTAGTGGACAAGAAGAGAACTATGTTTTACTTGAATCGGACCTGGAACTGTCTAGATAATAATTAAGAGAACATACACGACATAAGCACGTGAAGAGGAATGTTCATATTGGGTTAGTTCGCGACAAAATTTCATACCTGATGAAAAAGAGAATTGTTCATCAGTCCTTGAGTCCCTGGGATCGCACCAGTGTGTTTTGCATGAACATTGTTCACCGACGTCAATTTGGCAACTTTGTTTGACTTGCTGCTGCTGCTGCTGTTGATGCTGCTTGAACCAGGTGAGCACTTTCTTTTCTTTCCTATTAATTTGTCAAGGGAAGGATGCGAATGGGAAAAACTGCTGTGTGAATTTACAGTCAGCTCGCTGGACTGATGAACAAACGGCCCTAAGGAGAGTGTGGAGTCGCTGCTGTTCATCATCACACTCATTCTCTTTATCGATTCTGCAGGGCTTCCAGTCGGAGGACCCCTCCCTGATTGGTCGTGCTTGAGGCTAACGGAGTTAGCTTTGCTAGTCATACAGTTGAGGCCAACGCTGTGGGACGAAGCTGTCACCGACGGATGATAGGAGGTCCCAGAGTTTCCAGAGTTAACCACACAGTTTTTTCTAAAGGACTCTGTGGAATGAGAAGGTGCTAGCAGTGCGGAACTGTTTTTACGCTTCTTTCCTGAGCCGCCGCTGCTACTGACGCTGCCGGTACTGTTACAGGTGCCACTGCCAGCAGAAGATTCCTTAGGTTTAAAAGATTTGCTGGATTTCATTTTCTGAGGTTTGCTGGGCATAGGTGAAGGTACAGAGGAAAGCACTGTAGGTGTTGAAGGGGATGAAGACACTTGTCTTGATTGCATACTGCAGACAGGATCCACTGCACCCAAAGCAGCAGGATTGGCATTTAGTGTCGTTCCGTGGGATGGTACCGATTTATTATTGAGAGACACACAGGAAGGAGATACCAACGCTGGCGATGACATAACCGTGGTGGGCAAGAGGAAACCTGCTGCACTGACACCGTACTGTGAAGCAGGCACCGAGTTTGTCCGATGGGGTGCACGAACTGATGCTGTGTTACTAGATGCTGGAGGAATTTTCCTGCAGGTGAACAGAAAAAAACAAACAAAAACCTACGTAGCTACCATTCTTCGGAATAATGCCCAGTCTAACAATGCTACATTAACGTGACTGTATCTTGAGGTCGAGATGCCCCTAAAATATTTTATTAAATTGCTAATTGTTGCAAAAAGCGCACAGCATAGACTATCAATCTTTGACCCGATTAATTCGAACACAAGATTGCTGTCCTTTAACTAGAATCACAGGCCCCGTGTATTTCTAAATACCAAGAAGAATAAGAACGATTTCACTTCTACTCACTTCCACATCTGTGAATTAAGATGCTTCTCCAACATCAAGTCAAGTGCACATCGAACACGGTTCCATCGCTTGTCAAACACGTAACAACCTCTTCCAATTTGCCGACTACCAAATGTGCAAAACTGAAAAGACAGATTTTTACTGGCATTTTCTAGTTTCAGCAACAACTGTCTGAATAACTACGTACTTGTTCATAAAGAAATATTGCTAAATGAACATGCTTTTAGGTGTTTAAATCAAGGATAAAACCCCAGAAATTAGAATTTTTATTTCTAAGGTATAATAAGTATTTTAAATTTTTGGCCTTGGTATATTGGGAAGATTTTCTTCCCATCTGATGCTCCCACACTTATGGCCAAAAGCAGTGGTCAGATTTGAATCCCTCTGATTAAACAGGGAAGGACAGTAGTGTGTGCATAAAAACATACATATATATATATATATACACACACATATATACTAACATCTTCTGAGGAGCTATCAGCTAACTTCTCACAGTCTGTTTTAAGAAAAAAAGAAGATGATTTGATATACAGGTTAGGCAACAAAGCTTGTGCTTTTACTTAGACTAGCTTTATCAAGATTTAAATATTAAAACACCACATTACTGCTATTTTTACTGTGATGACTGGCACCTTGAGTAAAAAATGTGCACACGTGTGTGTGTGCGCAAGTCCAATAACAAAATCTCACCAAAAAGGCACTGTTTACATGTCCTTATTCCAAAACCACAGCCCTTTAGAGCAGTCAGCAATTTCATCTTCAGTACTTTGGGGTTTTGATTTCTTTTGGATTGGGAAAGTGAGCTCCTAACATATTTCTTTAGCATGTTTACTCTGCAACTACAGTTAAACCTTCACTGCTTACACTAGACAACAAAATAATTTTCTTAAAATCTAGAAAAAAATTAAAGCACATACCCAATAGAAAACCACCCTTAAACCCCCCCGTAATTTGTTTCCAAGTTCAGAGCAGCGAGAGACCAAGGTTAACTTTTACTTAAAACGTACAGCGGCTGGTTGAGGATGATGACCTGAATAATGACAATCCAGTTTTTCAACAGGCTCTTCTTTTTCATCACATTCTCCCTCATCACTGGATAACCGAGATGCTGGCTCAGCTGCAGGCAAGGGAGGGTGCGGGGACTCATGGACAGAAGGAGACTCACTCGGGCCATTTCCACTGTGCTGGGCCGGACAGCCTGGAGGCCTGGGCAAGGCAAGCAGAAAAACTGTTATTGAACTAAGGCTAGTTAAAAATTCCAAGCTTAAGTGCTTACTATCACTGACAGAAGGAAATCTACAGTAACAGATTTCTGGTATTTTCCATAGTCTCATAACTTATCTACCGAGAGGAAGCACAGGAGATACGGTACCCCTGGAAAAGCAGCATTGCCCAATCGTTGCTGAACTGCTTTCAGTGGCGTAAGTCAGCTTGTACTATTCCAAACACCAAGCCCTTCTCACCACGAGTTACAGCTCAGAATGTAATTGCTAATTGCAGACAGACAGTCACCAGGCCTACAGCAAAAACACTGCCCTGTCCAACACATCAGTATTGCTCTTTCAAAATCCACCTGAACAAGCTACCATTATTAATTTAACACCATTGGATCCACAGATTTTCCTTACCTTGGAAGACTGGGGGGGTGAGGTTTGGGTTTATTAGGTAATAAAGGCTTTGAATCTGTAAGAGTAACTCCATGAGAATTTTGGTGCAGCTCCTGGGAAGTTTTAGTAGGTGAGGGATGTGGTTCCCTGAGAGGGGGCGTCTGCTGATGATGATCCGAATGTCGAAGAAGTTCCTTTTCCCTGGTTTTGCTTTTGTGCTCGGCTAATAACACATCAAATCGCTTTCTTCGACCCTGTACAGCCCTCCGCTGGGTTAAGGAATGTGTCTGCAAAACCATGAATAAATCATTAATCCCAGGCTATTAGATTTGTGGAAATCAAACACTCAAAACACGTGTCTAGAGCTCTAAAACAGAGCAAAAAAAAAAAAAAAAAAATCACCACACTCATGGTTTAGTAAACAAACAGAAGAATGACTTGGAAAACAAACTTTAAAATTACTTGGTGGATGATTATATAACTGCCAGATACAAAATAACAAAAATCAGCAAGTGAGTAGAAGGCTTCCTTCATTCCTTCAAATTTCTTTTTAAAAAAGAAACTGCCAAAGTTCTTGTAAGGTTAAGACTAGAATTGAAAATCTTTTCTACATTGTTATTTTAATGGCCAACTACTGCAGAACCAAGAATACTAAATATTTACTTCCACTTACGAAAATATTTAACACAATAATGTTTGAAATCAGACTTTTAATAGGACACATGAAAAATATTTATAAAAACACTTTGCTTCCTTCTATATACTAACGTATTCCTTGAAAACTAATTAAATAGATATCAAGGAACGCAAAAAAAACCAGCAGAATACACCGTCAGACAGAACTCAAAGCCCTTTGAGTGTCCTCAATGCTACGCATAGCAAGATGTATACATGTATATACGGTACAAATTCTAGGTAAAGTAAAACAGATGGAAGTTGTTCTTCTGAATTGTTCCAGTCACATACAATACTTCTTTTCATATGGCATGAAAGGTTTGATTGGGTTCATTTTAGTAGGTAAAAATTATTACCATGTAATTCAGACACAAATAGCAATTCAAAAAATATTTTATAAGTAGGTATAATGTAAGGAATTGCTGAGAAACGTTTCTACTTTTTTTTTTTTTTCCTCTTTCACACTTTTGATTTGCCTAGTTCTCTTGTAAAATCTGGAAGCTCTTCCCTCCTCTATTAGCAAAACAATTGGCTCCCTCCTGTAATTCCAAAAGGGCAACGTGTTCAAGTTCAGTTCCTCTGGGTCATTAGTACCAGCTTCATTTACCTTTGTTCTGTAGGTGGTTTATTTACCAGATGCTTCCCCTACTGACAGTTTAGCTGCTTTGCAGGAAAGTAGCTAAATATTACACAACTGCAGGGGATGTGGAGTTCTGGTGCCTCAGGATTAAGTGACACCCCTCTGTCCCCCAAGATCTTTGAGCCAGAGGACACATTTCATTTGACCAAAAGTTTTTACAGATTGTTTAACTTAAAAGTTTGACTTCTAGGCATACTCCATGGCTTTTTCAGAAGACACTTCTGAGTTGGCTGTAGTCTTACATCAAGCAGCATTAGCATTTACACAAATACATCCTAAGTTATCTGCTGCAAACAACACCGGGGGGGGGGAAAGGAGGGGGTGTGAGAGGGGAGAGGCTCGGTTTATTTAAATCCTGCATAAACAAATAAGACTTTCAGTGCTTATGAGGAACTTTAAAATTCATGATCTATGTATGACTCAAAGGTTATCCCCCAAAAGAACAACATGCTGGCCCCCTACTACCTACCTACATGTGGAGCAACACAATCTGTCCCATGTCAACATCCATGTTTAAAGCAAAACCACAAATCTCCAGGTTACTTTTAAGAAATATGTTTTTGAATAAGTAATTAACTGAACTTCAAAACCAATTCCTTCCTGCTTCTGGGCAACATGTTTTGAGAGGTATCATTTACAGTGGTAATAACCGACAGCAAAAATTTGTAGTTTTCTGTCATTTTCCTCAGGAAATTGAATTAAAACTTTACATAATCTTATTGTGATTAAGATATCCTACCTTGCATGTCAAAGACCTAGTACAAGGTTTCCTGGTTTCCACATCAATGACACCACAGTATATATCAGGATCAAATTCTCTCTCTGTCAAAGGTACACAGTATTGAAAAGTTACCAAAACACATTTTGAAATACTAACATTTCTTTTCCTTATAAAAATAAATCACATTGGAAACTGTTTTCAAATGTAACACAGGCAAATATACAAATAGAAATGCACAACAAAATTGTACAAATAAAATTTTCTACACTCTCAGCAAGTTTATGGTGTGCTGAAATACGGATCTCCAGTCTACAAACAGAACAGAGACCTCTACAGCTGTAAGGGACCCCAAAGGAGGAGCAGATCCTGCATGTCAGGATTAGAGGTCACCATCGATATTAACTGTGACAAACAAGCACTAGGGTTTTGTTGTTGGTTTTTGCATTAAGAACTTTTCTACCGTTCTCCTAACACCCAGAGTTATTGTGTTTAAAAAGCGTAAAAAGCAGACTGGGTTCACATTTTTGAGTTTACGAAGTGCCGATTGTTCCATTTTCTATGTACGTTTGGGCCTTCCATACAGAAAGAAGGAAAAGAAAAATCTTTAAAGACAGTAGAAGAGCGCTATTTTAAAACTGAAGAACTGACAGGCCTTTGAAGTCTGTATCGTTTCTGAAAGCAATAGCCACATTTCATTGTTCCCGCATCCTTTAAGAGTTACAGATTTAAAATTCTAATTCTATAGCTTTAAATTAAAACAAGTTACAGATTTAAATTCTAATACGTAAAACACACTTAATTACAAGTTACAGTGTTATCAAAGTGTTTTATTTACTTCTACAGCTAAACTACTAAGAGGTATATAGCAAATAATAATTAAAAACAATTACCTGACAATCTTTTATGTAAAAATTTCCTATTGTTTGTATTTTCTTCAGGTTTCTTTTCCAAAAATGGAGGCACAGAGAGAAGACCTTTACCATTCAGTATCTGTCCAGGGGAAGGCAAGGGTGGCTTTGGTATTGAGGGACAATTAAGGCCAGTCTTTATTGAGGAACTCACAGTAGTAGAACAAGTTGGACCAACAGCAGCTTTCAGTTGGGCACCATCTATCTTTGGATGAATCTTTTCCACTTTGACAGATGGAGTCATACTATTATTTATGAAAAACAAAGGGGGAAAAAATTGAACATTACACTCATAACTTATAAAAAGTACTGAAAATATGTTATTTATCAACAACACTCTGATCTATTCACAAAGCAAATTTAGGCCTTCCTCCTTTATTCCTAGTTTTCTTTTCTTTTCTTTTTTATTTTCGTATTTTTTATGACACCCATAATCTCTTCTGTCCTCTTTTCCCCATTTCCTTGTATGTATTTCACAGCCTCATCAGGGACTTCAGAAACTGTTATTTGGATTCACAGATACAGCGTATCACCAAAGCAACTGGAATGGGCCTGTTACATCCAGTGAGAAATGCTCCATTCTGTGACAGTGCAGGTGAAAAATCACCTGAATCAGGGCTAAAACTCCCTTGTGATCAAAGCAGACAAATTAGATCAAAGAATTAAGAGCCACTAGTAAAGCAATCTTTATCTACAGTGACTGAAGATGCAGCTTTGCAAGAGTTCTTGTTCACCACAGTCATGATGTTATAGATAACCTTAGACTAGGCTGATGGAAAAGATCTGGAGGAGTTCAAAGTGATTATCTCTTAAACCAAAAACTCTCTGAAACAAAAGGAAATGCTACCGATATAGCAGTGTCTATGCAAATAATAACATATAATTCTTTGTCAGAACACATACTCACATTTTATCATGGGGAACTTTGCTATGCTGTACCGAATGCATTAACCTGTTGTTTCCGCTGATCTGCAGCTTGTCTTTGGGTGATTTCAACGACTTGGCATTTGATGATGATGCACTAGTACCTCCACTGGATGAACGATTGCTCCCACTTCCACTGCTACCTTTGTTTTTTGAAGGGAAAGATGAAATGAGGGAAAATACTGAAGAGGAGGGAGGAGTCAAAGGCGGCTTGCTGGAGGAGCTGTGTCTTCTTTCTGAAAAGGAGGAAAGAAAAAAGAGGTTTTAAGCTCCCATACAGAAACAATTCTTAAATACTTCGTATTGTCATTTATTCCATTAACATTTTTCCTTTATTGGCTTGGGAGGTGCCCTGTCACATACAGAGCACAGCAGATTCAAGCCTCACTGTAATCCAGGAGGCTCCACTCATTGCTGGTCTCCAGTCGGTTACGGGAGTCTCTTTTAACCTTGGGAGCTACACTTCTCAGCTACTAAAGCTTAGCCTTTAATAACACTCCCCACTCTCTCTCTCTTAAAGAACAAGAACGTGAGAATCAAACCTAGACCTCAGACACACAACGCAAAGAGACCCCTATCTTCAGGCCAAGCAAGCTTAAGTATCAGATTTCCTCAAAGAATAACCATTATCTGTAAGTATGTCCCCTGATTGTCAAAATTATATTGGAGCCAACACTTCACGACAGCCTTTTGGTATGGTCTACGAGACCTTCGGTGTGCAACGACCCTGAGAACAGCAGCTCAAGTATCGACCTACATTGGGTTTTGGGGTGTTGTGGAGTTTTTTCTTTTGTTTTCCTCTTATTAATTCTATTAATTTTTTTCATGACCAGTTTAGGGAGGATTTCTATTTAGAAACAACATCAAAAGGAGCTACAGATATTATAAAACAAAAAACCCCCACATCTCTGAACATTTGAATTGAGTGGTCAGGTTCTATCAATGAATGTGTTGAATTCATATTAAATCATTAACATTAATATATTGCTAGCACCTTTTCAGTTAAAATGGTATATATTATAAAGGTAATTCTTTGGAACAATGAATTGTCAGCCACAAAACACCTGACAGCTTCACAGACTACCCAGCTCTGCCTGCACATGGACACATTAATTGCCCATTCGCAGGACTGATACTTGGACACCTGCGATTCCTGGATGCGTGTAATCAACACCTGCTTAAGAGACTTGTCTGGCAATCAAGTATATGCAAACCACAGGTCTAAGAGAGAACCAAGAATTAGCAGGTCTATCAGGGGGAGCGGAAAGACTTATCTCCTTGACAGCAGTAACACCTTTCTCAGCCAAGTGTTAAAGGTGCCCAAATCCAGCACTGAACAACCCCAGGGTCAGCTTTCAGACTGACTTAAATTTAAGCTGTGAAAGAAGCAGGCTACTCATGAAGTTACAACCACAGCCAAGAGTGAAAATCAAGTCCAGTGTAACCTGTACAGAAGTCTGTAATGCTCTGGAAAACCTAAATTAATACATCTGTGTTCTGCTTATATGACCTGTTTTCCCCCCCGATCCTAAATACAGCAATCATATGCCACTCAGATGATGGCCAACCATGACTCCATTCGTAGCTGGAAGCCATCGAACAAGACGGCACCAACGTCGTCAGGCTCATCACCCACTGCATGGCTCCTGCAAGCAAGACACTAACTGCGTACAACAGCAATAACCAGGGACAAAAAGTCACACTGCTCCAGCAGTGCGAGAGGAAGACATAGGAGTCAAACACCTGGCAAGCTGATTTCTTACAGCGGTGAGGAAGCAGCATTTTAAATATCTTTGTTAGTTCAGGGGAAAAAAAAAAAAAAAAAAGAGTTTAGACTAGGAAACTCCAGTCAAGAAATTATGTCGGAGATGAACCAAGTGATGTGTGCTTCTGTTTAACTGCAAAACGGGTGCAAACTACCTAACGAACCTTCTGCAAATAGTCATCACTTCTCAATTAGCATTTACTAAAAAGCCCCGAGAGAGGTCTGGTGAAATGCCTAACAGAAATACGTAACACACCACAATTCATCACCCATCTCAAGAAACAACTGCTTTAAAATGATAGCATTCAGAACAACTAGTTACCCGTGATGTTCAAAGTCATCTTCTTTGTTTTCTAGCACCAGATGCCATTGAAGAGTTTGTAAGTGAAGACTGTTAGCATATTTGTGTTCTAGTAAATGGCTGTGCTTCTAATACCACGCACTGCTTATTGCCAAATGTCTTTTTATAGCAATGGCAAGAATCCCTGAGCAGCTCCGATAAGTTGCTATTTGAGGGCCATTAGTTCAGTGATGCTACACCCTGTGAGATTACTCTGCGAGATAATGAGAAAAATTGCTCAAGACTCTTCCACCTTCTGTATATTTAGAAAACTCAAAGTCCAGGTTCTTATCACAGTTACAAATAATCTCTAATAAGCCAGTGGATGACTAATGCAATCTTTGGCAGGGTTGGGTTTTTTTTGGTGTTTTTGTTTGGTTTGGTTTTGTTTGTTGGTTTTGGGGTGGTTTTTTTTTTTGTTTTGTTTTTTTTGTTTTGTTTTGTTTTTTGGTTTTTTTTTAAAAAAGGAAGAGGGGGTGTATCTTCCTTGGAGAAAAACCTAGCAGATGAGAAGAGAAAGAGTCTAGAATAAGACTGAGTACTTCCCTGCATCCCATCATTACGAATAAACTAGACAAAATAGTAATCCCAACTATTAAACCAAATGATATGAACACTTCTTTTCTGGCAACTCTAACTGGTACTGTTCTCATACTAAACTGACACGTTACTGACTACTATTTGCATTAGTGTTTCATAGTACCCGTCACGTATAAGTGAATTAATATAAAAAGAAAGTGTTTTAAACTGCTGATAATAAAAAAAATTTACCTAAGAGAAGTAAGGCATTAGCTGATCACACACCCCAAGATTACAGTCTACCCATCAGAGAGATTTTCCATTCTACAGACAGACCTACGACTTGGAACACACACACACAAGCTTTTTCTATCATTTTGGGACAAATTCTGAAAGAGATACTAGAACATTGTAAGCCTGTGAAGCCCATGACCTGGGTAGTTTTACCAACAAAATGAGAAGACTTTCCAGCTCATTTTTTGTAACCTGCCTGGACCTGTTTCATGTTGACTTACATCCAAGTAGAGGCAGGGCTGCTACTAGGATCTGCTGATATTGAACGTTTCCATCTTTTTATAAAATTAATGTTTTTAAGTGAAATCTGCTTAAGGTCTGTTTTGTAAACCATCTGAATACTACTGATGTCTTATTGGAGAAAGCTAACATTATTTTTGAAACCAGACATGTTTTAAGCATGGCAAGTTTGATCTAATGAATGTATTTATTGACAGGCTGACATAGTCTTTTAATGGAAAAATTACTACACAAACTGTCACTGAATAAATCGAGACCACCATGCTTATTATGCTAAGCACATTATAATGATAAATTCTACTAATCATCTGCCAATCTAATACAGTTCCCATTTGCCATTAACTCTGACTCAGCCTGAAAACATTTAAAAACATAATTATCTCCAGGTGTTCAGTTTTCAAATTTTAAAAGTTAGCACTTGCATCCTTTCCCTTTACATAACTCTTGAAAGAAAAAAAACATTTTTTGTGTCATGATTGCTTTTACAACACATCAAAGTGATATTTCAAATACCGCACCTGTGTAACACCGTTCTAGGCTCTAAAATTTGTGAGGATGACTTTTTTGGGGGGCGGGGGGGGCAGGGTGTGTGTGTGGGGGGCTGTGTGTGTTCTTTGATTTTTTGTTGTTGTTGTTTCTTTAAGTATCAGAAAAATGTAAGGTTTGGCTTTGGACAAAGAACCTGAAAGTCTTCCTTGATCCCACAGCACTGGGTCGAATCTGACCCAAAAAGAAAGCTGCATTCAACACCAAACCTTAACAGAGAAACTCCTCCCTAAATATCTTTGCATTTATATAACACATTTGTGACCCTAAGGAGAAAGGCTGCACAGAGAGTTAGAAAGCTGTGAAAAGGGATGGCACCCCAGCAAAGGCTGTCTCTGCTCGGTGACCAGGATATCTGTTAACTATCAATTTGGAAAGATACAGCAGCAGCTTGTGTGCTCCTGGACTTACAGTTGAGCGAGAATTATATACACTACTGACAAAGCACAGAGGACCTCTTGACAAAATTGATGTTGATGATTTAACTCTCTTCAAGAGCTTTAAAAAACCCCCATACCGCTTCACTTGGCCCTTTGGCCGCCAATTTTCTTGGGTTTAAAAATCTTATTTTGCACTGTATATTTCCGACTAAACATGCACTAATTTCTGAGAAGATGCAAAAAAGTATCCTGGAAGGGGAAGAAAAAAAAAAGGGGGGAAAGGAAAAAAAGAAAGCGTCTCACCACATTTGGCTATTACTTCTTATTCTTCCACCAATGGGTAAACACTTGGACTTACTGTGATATATTTTATTTTAATATAGAAATAAAGTTATAAATCTTTTTACAGAGAAAAACATTGTTTTCATAAAACATTACTTTCTTTGCTGAGTGCTTTACAAAAAAAACCAAAAACAAAACCAAAAAACAAACCACCAAACAACAAAACCTAAAATTTTTCAAAACGTTCCTCCTGGGTCTACACTTAGTTCCCAAAATCTAGGAAGTTTTGTGCTGTTCACTCTTTCTGGGCATCAATTAGTACATTTGAGCAGCAAATACAAGACATACAGATCAAATTTCATAAACTCATTTTTTTAATACTAACTCCTTACGTAAATACAGGGTAAAAAGTCGAACAGACCTGTGTCAGTGCTGGCAGAGCCATCATTAAAAATGGAGCACACCCATTTGAAAATACACCAGTTTAGTTCAGTGAAATAAGTTGCAACTTCAGTTAACATTCAGAAAGACAGTTCTAACACAGGTTAGCCTAGGTGTAACAGTATCATTCAGACTATAGAATTCAATAGCATAAAGGTGACTTTAGGTAATTATTATTTCATATATCTGTCTCGCCTAAAGTATAAGCATGATAAAACTGCAACTTAAAGCAAACTCATCTTTTTTTCCATTATACTGTGCTACTGCTTGACTTGTCATTTGAGAAATTTTTTAGTACAGCCATATTAAAACAAACATCTTTTACCTGAGGATAAAATTTATTTTCTGTCAGAGTGACTATTACATTCCTGGAGTAATTGTGGTGAGCCGATTTACCTGATCTTCTAATTTCTCTAGAAGGATCAGGTC